CAACAATATATGGTTCTCAAGAACACCGATGTTTCAGTCATGAAGCTCTGGCCATTGTCCTTATGAATGTGCTCACACCATTGACCTTCATATTGCATGTACTGTGAGAAGTTTCGTCACAACATTTTGTAATTTGCAATGGACCTTCAAAACTAATTTAGCACAGCTATCTGTCATAGACTGACATGACCACACCAGGCCCTATTTTGGCACTGAGATTTCAATGTGAATCCTTGACACTGCCCAAGGTAACTAGCATCAGTCTGCTGCACAGCAGGTGGACGTAAGCCGTGTTTATTCTGAACATAAGGCCCCACAACGTCATGATTTCCACTCGAGCTCTGGAGTTAGAGCACCAATTTCAGTGATTGTGAAATTTGTAATAACGAAAAAATGTAGTTTCATTATTTGACAACAAATACTTCATGAGGTGTTACATTCTTGGAAATCTGTGTCTCAGAAAGATACAGGTGTGTCCCTAAAGTCATCCACTCAAGCAATATACTGCCCATGTTTGATATTTATAAAGTAATGCAAAAGAGAGTGAGGGACGCTTGAAATCGAAGTAAGGACTCAGGAATAAACAGGTGCAACAGCTCCAATCCTACTCCAATTTTAAAAGGGGATTCACAGCATGATCCATTACCTCTTGGTCGGTAGCTGCTGGATTGCCATACCGGATATTCTCCTTGACGGATGTTGCAAACAACACAGGTTCCTGTTTCCGGAAAACACAAACGGAAATGGTACAAAGGACCTGTGCTACATGTGCATGTATATGGATGTGGACAACTGTGAATTTGGTGCCCCCCTTTGATCTCAGCAGCAAAAAACATCAAATATTATTGCTATTTCGACGGCCACCAGAACACCACTGCCGATGTGAGCCAATGCAAAATCTGCCCTTTTCTCATGTGGACAGTATGTGGCTAGGCTCCAACATGCTGATATGTATTAACCTCATAGCACCTGAAACGGTTCACCAGGAGTTGTTTAGAGTACCGAATCGAATACGTCATGTGAACAACGATGTGAGTAAAAGGCATGCGTACTCCACTCCTTTACAGTACACTTCTTGGTTCACTTATGTCACGCTTCGGTACCCCGGGACAGTTGGGATGGTTTATCCCTTCCTGGCTCAGTGAGCGGGGATAATGTGGCTTAAAGTGAACGAGGACCCATCAGGTTATGGATTGTGCAATTCTGTATGTCACGTTATTACTATTATCATGTTAGTTACTTGTGCAAACAAAAGTGCACTCTCAAGAAAGGTAGGATACATATCTACATGTACGCAAGAACGGTATGAGAAAGGTCCCAGGGGAAGCAAGAACGCTATGAGAAAGGTCCCAGGGGAAGCAAGAACGGTATGAGAAAGGTCCCAGGGGAAGCAAGAACGCTATGAGAAAGGTCCCAGGGGAAGCAAGAACGGCATGAGAAGATCCCAGGGGAAGCAAGAATGGCATGAGAGGGTCCCAGGGGAAGCAAGAACGGTATGAGAGGGTCCCAGGGGAAGCAAGAACGGCATGAGAGGGTCCCAGGGGAAGCAAGAACGGTATGAGAAGGTCCCAGGGGAAAGTAGGAGTACACATGGTCTTCAATCAGCTCATTCGTTCAACCTCCGTTGATAACTATTGTATGGAGTCACTGTTCCATGACAGTCATTTCGTACATAACTCCGCACAATCCTTTTTATCATTAACCACTTCATGCCGGGGCATTTTTCAATGTTGATGATGCTGGGCAGGCATGACTGTCATTTTTTTCTGTTTTCAAAATCCTTCAAAATTTCATCATTTCACTTTACGGTCGTTTATAAGCACACG